TGGGCAAGCGGGGCCGGCGCGGCCCGAGCGCGGAGCCGTTGTCCGGCTGCCCGGTAGGGCGGAGGGCTGCGGGAGTGCCCCGCGCTGCACGCTGGGCGCGTTCAAATGCCAAGCTGTGAACGCCAGCGCTCGGGAAACGGGAACGCTAGTTTTGCCGCTGCTGGCTATTAATGCTGCTGGGGTGTTGCTACCATTTTAACAGGCCGCTGTTGTTAAAGTCTCGAAGCTATCTGTAACTTAGAGGACTGAATCTCGTAGCTTATGCTTGTCGGGTTTTCTTTACAATTCAGGTCTGAACTTGCTAAGTTTTTGCTGGCAGCAGCTTGCTCTGAAGTGTTTCGTTTGTGTAGTACGTGCAGTAGCATGTGCATGCAGACTGCTGTTAGCTCACAGTATTCAAATTGTCCAACTCCACAAGCCCCAGCGGTGAGGGCAGCAGTGTTGCTTGCTTCGAAGAGGAGAAATGAAACGCAATGGGAATTTTTGTGTTGAGCAGATGAGTTGGCCCCAACAGTTGATACATGTGACGGACTCAAGACCTCCACAGTGCTGTGCCCAGCGAAACCCCCCCTTGGTTCTCTTGTAACACTCTTCGCTCTTTCCTTTCTCCAGAGTGAGGCAGAAGTGAACCCCAAAGCCTACCCACTGGCTGATGCACAGCTCACCAAAACACTCCTGGATCTCGTGCAGCAATCCTGCAACTACAAGCAGCTACGCAAGGGAGCCAACGAAGGTGAGAGCTGCCTGTTACCAAATATGCAAGAGTTGCTTGAGTTATAGGAAGAGCTCTGAGAAGCTGTGTCTGAAGGTTGTTTTCTCTCTCTCTCTCTAGCTGTGTGTCATTGTTTTTATATTTGCCATGTTTTCTTCCTCCTCTCTGTCAACTTGTGGAATATTTGGGACAGAGTTAAACTGTACTTTTTTCAGTGCTTGCTTATAGTTCTGGTAGATGCTCCAACTGTATTTCTGGTGTACCATGTTCATGCATGCTTTAGTGGTGAGGTGCTGCAATTACCAGGTGCCTCATTAGTTTTAGAATTATTAAATAATTTATGTTTGAAGAGACCTCTGAAGGTCTGTTGTACCATCTGTCTAGAGAACCACTCCCTTTAAAGCTGATTCAGGTTTCTGGGTCTTGTTTAGTTGATCTTTTTAAAAAAAAATCTCTTAAAGATATCTCTAAGATAGAGAAAAAATCTCTAAGGATGAAGGCTCACAGTCTCTGGGCCCTGTCCTAGGACTTATGCTGCTCTCACAATGGATTTTTTTCCTCTTGTGTCCCACCAGAATTTCCTACAGGCAGCAATCACTGACTGCAGCTCAGTGCTCTCTCACTGTGCACCCATGAGGACAGTCTGGCCCTGTCCTTTCTATCCTTTAGGTAGTGGAAGACAGCAAGGACATTCCCCACCTGCCCCCACACACACCCCTTGAGCTTCTCTTCTCCAGGCTGAACAAACCCAGATTTCTGGGGATTTTGAAGATCAGTTTGCATCCCTGCACTGCTGACTGCCACTCTTCTGTAGCCCTGCAGCTGCCATTTGCCTTGAGCTGTCCTTGCACTACCCCTGGATTTCCTGCTAATTTCAACATCTATTAATGATTTTTATTAACGTGCATTACAAAAAAACCCTAGACTTATCTTAAGTTTTTCTTGCAGCCACTAAGACACTGAACAGAGGAATAGCAGAATTCATTGTGATGGCTGCAGATGCTGAGCCCTTGGAGATCATCCTCCATCTCCCTCTTCTCTGCGAGGACAAGAACGTGCCCTACGTCTTTGTGCGCTCCAAGCAGGCCCTGGGCCGGGCATGTGGTGTCTCCCGGCCCGTCATTGCCTGCTCCATCACTATCAAGGAGGGGTCGCAGCTGAAGCCTCAGATCCAGTCTGTGCAGCAAGCTATAGAAAGACTGTTGGTCTAAATGCCCATGAGTTCATGTGGAATAGGACAAGCTGGAGTTGAGGGAAATAATATTGAGCTGTAGTTGATGCGGTAATAGTTTTGATACCAGTGTTTCATTTCAAAATGTTTTTTTTGTTTGTTTCTTTAATAGTGACTTAATTCTGAAAGCGTTTCTGCCTCTTCTGCCTGCCTCCCCTTTATTTTTTTCCTGTATCCTGCTACTCCAACACAGTCATTCTCACTGTACTACTTCTTGAAAAATGGCTGTACAGGTGTATTTCCTGGTTGATGTTTACAAGAACAAAAAAAAAACACCATTTCCCCACCCGCCCCCCATCTCCATGCCTGCCTGCTCAGGGCTTTAACCTCCTATTGCAGGATCTGTTGTGTGTATAGGCGGCTGAAAGCATCACAGGGTAGCCCAGGTGTGAGGCAGAGCAGCTACTGTGCAGCAGCAGGTGGAACTAAGATGGAGCCAGTACCCACAGCACAAGATTTATTTTCTTCTTGAAATCAGACAAGGCACTGCTTTGAGAGGAATAGGAGGAGCAAAAACCTCATGGCAACGCACAAGGCGAAATCTCTGATCCTGCTTTTGTTTTTTAATGCTGACTTTTTAAGAAAAAATAAAAATGCTGACAAAGATGAATACAGGAATCTCCATAGCTGTCATACTCTGAGAGCAAATGTCTCCAGCTGAAGCGTTAGTACTTGCTAAGTTAAACTGATCAGATCTTGGCTAAAGGCTGCTGCAGGGTGGTAGTTCAGCTCCTTCAGTTTTCTTTGCGTAGAGTGTGTCAATAAGCTGCAAAGATTGGGTTTCTAGGATATTTCACTAAGTAATAAAATCCTTGGTAGCTTGGTGTGGCTCATATACAGTAAGGAATAGCTGGCCGATACCTATGAAAAGGATCTGATGTTTTTACAGAAGCTACTGCAAGCCCTAGCCAAGAAAGGAAGGAAAAACAGGTCACACTTTTGTTTGTTTTCCCCAACTGAAACAGCTTTCAATACAAGAGAATGATAGATAACCCTGTGTTCCAGAAAAGCGTGAAGCACCATTATCATTTTAGACTCTTTTGATGACTTTATGGAGGTAGCTTTGGTTAAACACATGCTGTATAGTAAAATCCGGTTAGTGTTCCAGCTGAAGAGTCTAAAGTTATCTGTAGTGGAGGTCATGCCAAACTCCCTTCTGTTGTAAGAATTCTGGACTTCAGTAACAAGCTTCTACAGCCTCTGTCTCTCCTTCCAGGATTACTTAGCTGCACTCTGAGGCCTTTCCCATGCTTGAAAAGTAGGAAGCAAAGCTAGAATGGGAAGCCCTATGTAGCAAACGCCAGTTGGTAAGGTAACGGCAGGCAAAATTTCTCCAGTAACGTTTCCACAGAGGCACCAACTGCTAACCTATAGTAAATGCATCTTAAGCATGTGAAAACAGTTCATGAAAGACTGAGGACAACTTAATGTTTGTATTTTATATTTTTGTAAATGTCTTATATTAATAATATCCTTGATGAGATGATCTTAAGTCACTCAAAAGATTGAGTCCTTTCCATTGTATGTATGTTGGCAGAGCTGCTGTTCCCTTAAAATGATGCTGAGTGTTGGGCTAGTTGTGTTAAAACCCCAGGTTAGGATTTGCCTCAGGAATACTGTGCCAAGACAAAAGGTGTAAGAAAAGCACATGAGCAGCAGAAATAAAGGATTCTTGAGCAAGCAAAACAGTTGTGATTTTTTGCTCTGAAGCCTCCCCTTACCACCTCTGATGAATTTTGCTTAATACAATAGCCTGCCCCACAAAAAAAGCAAGGAGAAGCTCTAGTAACTTGGACAAAACATGTCCAAGGCTGGACCATACAGAAGCTGGAGGTTAGCAAGTCAAGAGGCAATCAAAAAGGAGTGTTGGGGGCGGGAAAACTCAGAGAATTAAGGATAAGGTAGTCTCAGTTTTACCGCTTTCAATTAAAGCTTTCCGAAGACAAGCATTTACATCAACTTCTTTACCTAAAGGATCTAACAGAAAGAAAATCTGTTCAGACAGCTTTATTAGAAAGAACTTCAGAAACTTTATTAGAAAGAACTACTTTGAATCAACCTGCATTACAGTATCATAACAGACTATCTAGTTTCAGTCCCGGGGTGCTCAGTATGCTTGTTTAAAAAGAGTTGTACAGGTAGAAGCAAGCAGGGTGCTGGTAAGGTGGTCACTGCACTTGTGTGCACTGCCCTCACTGTAGTCTGAGCACGACCTTAAACGTGCAGTTTAATTCTACAAGAAGGTGCTTAATTGTTTTTGTGCCAAAAAGGAATCTCAATGCTGGACACAAAAATACACGACATCCCAAAATAAATACTTGACATGTTTCACCTTTGCATCCAGTGAAAAGGTACAGTTAGCTAAACAATCAGTATTGCTTTCTAGGGCAAGGAGAAGGACTATTTATCCACATACTGGTTTTACTCCTCTTGCACTGCAAGACAGGTGGGATGACTTGGAGGTGGGAGTTTAAAATATATATATGCATCCCTGGATACAGCCTACACGAATAGGATTCAAGAATATACCACAATTAGCAAGCAACAACTAATCTCTGTAACTTGCTATTTTTAAAACACAGAAGCCTGTCAGTAGTCTGACTCACCTTTGCTACAGAGGTGGAAAAGCTCTATGCTATTTCAGTAATTTAACTGGGGTAAGTGCAGTCCTCTAGGGAACAGGACTTTCTCCAACCAGCTTTTGCAGTTACTGTTTAAAAATGGAAAATGGGGCTGAATACCTTTGCAAAGTGCTGGCTTTTTGCACAGCAGATTGAATACCACTTAGCAATAATGATTTTCTTCTTTGACATCTACTGATGATCTTTACAACGCCGAGGGTACAAAAGATGGTAAAAAAATAGCCCTGTTCACTTACAACAGCAACACTGATGGGCAGTTTTGGAGAGCACCACAGTAACACACCACATTTATAGCTTCTGTTAGCACAAAGACGACTCAGCATGAATTAATGCAGAGTCATTAACATAGCTTATTCTGTTCATAGATCATTCTGTAAAAATGAATTGTAAAAATGAATTTTGCTGTCTTTATGGCCAAAAAAACAAAGTTATAGCCAGTCTTGCAAAGTAAAAAGACCAAAAAAAAACTTTTATTAAGAAACCATGAAGGCACAGCTGTGTTCATTTTCAGTGAGTGACCCAAGTTGGCAGGGCATTGAACTGTAGCCTTTGGCTACTGTGAACAGAATCCAAGTTTGCAGAGATTTTTGCAGAGCTAAGTTTCTGCACTGCTATATTCAGCAAGATTGAGTCCTATCCTCCTCTATAGCAAGACTGTACAGACAGCTTCCACATAAGATAACTAAAACTTTAAGCAGAAAGAAGTCGAACAATAGACTTCTCCTGCTTAGTGGTCTTTAAAGTATTCAATTAATGCATCCATGAGCTCCTGCTTCTTTCCACCACCCCTCAGGCCACAAAGCCTGCACGCCTCCTTCAGAACAGGTACTGTGAGCTTGCCTAGGGTGCCCTTCTGCATGTGGCTCCTCAGCTCATCTGTTGAGATTTCTGTCTTGATTTTCTTCTCAGCTTGACCATCAACAGTACCTGTTTGTTAGAAAGATACATTTTGGACGATCAGGATTTAAAAAGAATTTCTTAAGGTAAAGGAAGATAACAACTCTTCTCATCCCACAATTAATGGTCATTAGTACACGGCACTTCAATGGCTACCTACACACTCAGAGATCTAATTTCAGTGTTTTGTTCTATACATATTACTATATGGATGTCATTGAGGTGCGTGATCTCAAACTCAAGTATGCAAGTTTTGTTCTGATGGAAAGATCGTTCACAAGTGAAAACTTTTAAGGGATTCTCATCTAGGCAGCAGGCTGCTATTAAGCAGTCCATATATACAAGTTTACTTCCTCACTCAGGCAAACAAATCAAATCATTAATGATTTTACTATTCTGTCACAAAAAGCCAAGTTAGACCCCCCCCAAAAAAACAAAAAGTTTACAATAATTTGCCCACACTAGTCTGGGTTACAACTAAGCAGGTTCTAATTCCAGCCATTCTTTAGCTGGATAGCTAAGAATTGCAGTTGGATATAAGTCCACTCTGCTGTGTCATTACTCACCCTGTTTCCGCTTTACAGTCTTCCTATCAGGATCATAGTCAGGAGGATAAACCAGCTGCTTAAACTCTTCCACCAGGTTGCCCAGCCTACGGCTTATCTCCCCAGCCTTTGGCACTGGCAAAAGAGAAAGGGTTCCCCTTTTGGTTATTCTTTAGGTATCAGTTCACAAGAGAGAAGTTTCTGGGAGTACTGAAAGTAGTAAGAGCTAATTGCCCCCATCAGAATTTAGCAGCCAGGAAGGCTCAGAGCCACAGGGTGGCACCACTTGCTTCCAGCACAATAATTCTCTAAATAATTCTGCCAGTTACCAGACTGAAATATTAATGTGACTCTTGAGGACAGCAATTTTAGAGAAAACATTTATCATCATAAAAGGGAAAAAAAAAATCAATTACATTTTTTCAGGGCAAAGCAAATATTTTTTCCTTATCTTAACAGTTACTGGAAAGTAAGGTATTTCAGAATGGATAAAGTTCTGTATCTTAGAACTGCACATAATTAAAAAAAAAACATTTTTTGTTGTTGTTTTGTAGCAACACATCTCTGACTTTGAAGAAGGTCAAGACTCCTCTATGCCACTTTCCTTTGCATCCACCAATAGGTCTCACTTGTCAAATCTTCAGTTTGCTCCGGTTCCATCATATCCAGTGCGAGAGCCTCCAGGTTCCGGAAATGCTGCTGCAAAACTGGGTTCTCAAAGCTCTCAATCCTGTCAAGAACCCCCCAACATTTCAATGCTTGCTGCTGAGAAGATAGACTTATTCCAAAATAAAAACACTTTCCTCTCCCATATAGCAATCCATCTCAGTGGAAGAACTGTTTTTCCCCTTTTAAATTTATTTGCCAAATCATCATCCTGTCACACATCAAGTGAGTTAGAAAAATGCATGAACCAAATGGAGATGAGAGCATTCTGCATTAATGCTAGTTTTGCTACCTTCCTAAAGTAAATTTCCCATTAAAACAGTTCATGAAATTTATCCTAGCTATGATAAAAGCTCCTAGCTATTAATTCTGTTGTACTCAAAAGATCCAGGTCTGATCTGCAAAAGATTGAGACTAAACACTAATGGACTTAAAATTCACACATTGTATGATATTTAAATAGGAGCAGCCACATTTGCACAGTGAGATTTGGCTGTATTGGGAAACAAAGCCCTGAAGATCAACTCTAAAGACCAGTTCAAAGTCTTACAGACAACTACTAGCATTGCAGCCTTTAGGATGCCTGGCTTGGCTGCTGAGTAGGGCCACCAAGCTACGGATAGTTTCACACCAAACATATTTCCAACTATGCCTTTCTAAAGCATTTACTGTGGACGTGTAAAGAGAAACCAGGGATCCTATTAGATTAATAATTACACCGAAATATCCCAATGACATTACAAGTAACACCTATATAACCACCCAGGGCTTCAAAACCTCACCTTGTGCGCACTATAGTTGAAGAACGTGTTTAACACAGCAGGCAGTACTGTGAAATCATGCTGTGCTTCTCTCATTCCCCTTCCCCTCTATCTCCACTTACCTGTACTTGAACCTGAGTTTTTGAATGATTTGCTTCATTTTGTCCACCTGTTCTCGATTGGCTGGTACCTTTTCTGTAAAATCAACTTTCCGTTTGTCATCTGCATACGGCAGGAAAATAAGGTGGAAGCCTACACAGAAAAGAGAGCCCAAGAGAACAGTCACATAGAACTACAGACTCAAAACATTTTATGGGAAAGCCCGAGATGTCCATTAGGCAGATTTGATGACTACCAAACTAGCCAGTTTAAACAACACCAGGCAGTAACACCTTTTACTACCTATAACATGACACTCAATCCCAATCCTAACATAAATAGCCAACATCACAAATGGCTTTTTGAATGAAAGTCAAGCTAAATGCAGAGCTAAGAGATGGTTTTTATGCAGGAATAAGAATGGGAAATCAACTTGCCTATTTCTCACTGGAAACAAGTTTGAAAATGATTTGTTTAAATGTTAAATACAACACAGTAACAGTCAGGAAAGGAAGCAAGTGCTAGTCAGCCATCTGGAAAAACACTTCATTTTTAGGTCAGTTAGTTGAATCTGCTAGAAAAAAAAAAGGTAGGAGGCAGGGAAAATACTGTAGCTATGTTACACCTGAGCAAGCATGGAAGGAACTGAGGCTTTTAAAACAAATAGCAAAGCATTTAGTTTTATAATTCCTTCAGCTGTATCAAGATAGCTGCACAGTGTCACTGACAGCACCAGCCTTGTCTCACAGATACATCACCATATGCATCACCACACAATGCATTTACTCCACGTCTATCTGCAGAGGTTTCAGGCAGCAACTACAGTCAGGGACATCTCAACATCCTCTTCAACATCAGATACTCACAATAAGAAAACCAAAGCAAGGGGATATTGGAAAGCACTCTCCCCAGCTTTTAAGCCAGCAAAAAAAAAAAAAAAAGGTATTTTCATACAGTACAGGAGGCTGGATTTTGCTGACTGCTTCCAAAAGCACAAGGAAAGGCAGCATCTCTTGCCTACCTGGAGGGGCTACCTGTACATTTTGTTCATCGAGCTCCTCCTCCTGGGGAACCAGGGCCACAAAGCGAGGGGGGGTGTTTCGGCGGGGGATGTATCTGCACAGCGCGAACACTTCTTTCTCCAAGCACTTCACCAATAAGGCATTAAAAAGTGTTGTACTCCCTGCAAAGTAAAGACTACATTAGATTGAGGGCTTCTTTCCTCTCATACATTTCAGGAATATAACTCTAGACACTACAGATACAATGCTAATGACTTCTTTGAAATGCCTGCAGTGTTCCAGAAGTAAAAAGCAAGTTTGAGAAGAGGGAGCATTTGAAAATAAATCTCTCCTGATGGAATCAGGGGGCGTTCTGGTGAAAGCACTGAAATTACTAGCATCTGAGAAAAGAGAAAAGCCTGAGAACTGGAAAGAGGTTTATGCAAAGCCTCTCTCTGGTCTGGTTGGACACAACAGTAACAGCACATCATAGGACCTACAACAGAAGTAACACACTAAGGATGTGGACTGCAATATACTTCCCTCCAGGTCTCCACATATTTACTTTAAATTTGATCAGCTAGGTTGGTCAAGAAAGGACTCCCAAATGAATAACATGATTGATGCCAGACTTTGCTAAGCTGGAAAAGCCGGAGCAGAGCTGCTGCTTCTGTCAAACAATGCCAGGCATCTAGTCATCATCTCATAAAAAAGAGCAAGTTAAGGTTTTTCTTGATAATGCAGCTTGTGTGGGTTAATATTATATTTCTAGGTTAGTAGACCTTGGTACACACATAAGCAAGGGAGAAAAAGCAGTCCTTAATGTCTTCTCCTTCTTGCAACTGCTGTCATTAAAAGAAGCCATTAAGATGCCGTTAATTCAACCATACTTCCTTAGCAATGCATTTCCACTTCTAGCTGACACCGATTCAAAACTGAACTATTTTTACCACCTTTGCCTTCTTACAGAGTACTATAATCTTTCACTTTTAAAAACTAGTTATAATTACAGATGATTAAACCAAGTATTTCAGGGCCACATCCACTCAGTTTGATTAGCAGTCTGTAACAATGCATGAAATATGAAGCAGGATCAGCACTTCTGCTATTGAAGAAAACAAGAATTAACAGCACTGGGAGGGGCAGCAACAGTTAAGAACGCACTTATTAATAGATTTTTAAACTAGGCAAAGATGCCAAATGGAATTGCAGCAATCTCCACATGATCACACTAAGATTTAGCTGGTTACCATAATACAAGGGTGTGATTCTTCTGAATTTTTCTGTTCCTGTCTTTGCTCACCTCTTACTAGGGTCTCCTCAGGATAGATGAACTGGGAAGGCCTGATGAAGTGATGCTGTTTTAGCATTGAAAGTGGTTTAAAGCCAATCAGAACCAAGCCTGGTGAATCAAAATGTTTTAATTCTTCTGTTTCATCTTTCTCCATCACAATCTGACGGTTTCCATACGTCTAAAGCGGAGGGTGGAAGGAAAAAAGCAAGCAGTAGTGTTCAGCAACAGGATAGAATCTGATCAAAAATAGCTTTAGGAATAATAAAATCTGTTTCACTAAAAGGCGGTGGAATGACAGGAAGAGCAAAGAGAAAGAAGCCCATTTTTATCCATCTATTTTTTGTTCTCCATCTATTTTTTTTTTCCAGAATCCACTGCACTAGTTTTAGTACCTCAGAGTATTAAAACGCAACAATACCTCTCTCAGCATTTCTCGCACCTGGAAGAGAAAATGATTACCAATGTGAAGGGCAACAAAAGGGGAGAGGACAGACCCAGACTCTCCTCATTAGTGTACAGGGGTGCATGTACTGTACTGGTGTTCATTAGTGCAGCCAGTGACTGCTGCCTCAAGAGAAATTCAGACTGGACATTAAGAAAACATTTATTGAGTGTTTCTCAAGACAGTGGTTAAGACTTGGCACAGAAAGGCTGCAGCGTCTCACCCTTGAGGTTACTCAGAACTGGCCAGCACAAGCCCTGAGCAATCTGATGTAGTTTAGAGGCAAGTCTTGCTCTGAGCTAAGGTTGGACCAGACACCAGCAGAGGTTCCATCTGACCTGTCTATATCTCCTAACCTGCTCCAGCAGAAGGACGTCAGCTACCTGCTCCTGACAGAAAGAGTGATTAACAACTCAAGATATTGAAACATCACTCATATGACACAAAAGAAATGAAAATATATTTTAGACTGCTTATAGAGGTTAGCCCAGTAGGAGTGAGGGATTCAACATTCACCTTTCTGCTCATCTGCTGTACTAGTACTATATTTCAAGAAACTGGTGTCCAGTACAAATAAGCCTAATATCACATCTTAAGAGGACAGCTTTAAGAGACTTTGACAAGGACACACAAAGTGTGCTTATGACAACTGCATAGCCTGCTGTGAAATAAGGCTGTGCCTGAACAGAGCATGACAGTCAATCACTCTACATCAGCTAAACTATGAAGCAAGAAAGGAAAGCAAGGAACAAAATAACAAAAATAGAGCTAATACACCCAATATGGAAAAGAACCAAACAAAATCCATGCAATTCACTCTTCTACTCTTATAAAAAGCAGTATAAATTTACAATAATTGTAATAAAATATCAAAAGCTGTTTCTAGCACTTCAAAAGATCGCACGAGCCCACATAAGATCAGGTTCTGACAATCTGGCTCTGCCATACAGAAAAAACATGACCCGAGTTCCCAGGTACACTTCCACCAGTAGCTAGGTTTTCCCTTGAGAGTTCCACTCAGGAAACAACCCACTCTCCTTCTACTTAGCTTAAGAAGCACCAACCTATACCATGATATGTGGATACAAATATTTTTGCAATTGCTCATGCAAGCAAAGTATGGAAAAAGCAGCAAGATGCTTCACATTCCCTTCCTCACCCCCAAATCACCAGGACAGGAAAAACAGACACAGTGAATTCATTACCTGAGCTCTTTTCGTATCACGGGGCAGAAGCAAGCTGCCTGTTTTTCCATTAAAAGTCCTTGTTTTTGTTTTAATTGGCTCATTAGTTTCCCGATAAAGTTTCACTGGATATGGTTTATAAGCTTTTTGAAGGAGGCTGTAAACACCCACAGTTAGAGACAGATCTTTGCTCAGATACAGATTTAGCCTGGACAAAAAAAAAAAAAAAAAAAAAAGGGGGAGGGTCAGGAAGCAAATGCAGACTTGAGATTGAAGATAATTTTTAAAAAGTATGCCATAGCCCAAACTACTTTATTTTCTCAGACTTCCTATTCTGACCTTCAAAACCACACGCTCTGAAAAGAAAGTACTATTTGCTTCATAATTTCACTCATATAAAAGTATGCTGTAATGCTGTCATTAAAAAAAGTAATGATTTACCCTGTTTTTTCATCCTTTTCTAAACTGAAGAACAATCATCCTCAGGCAAAGTATATGTTAATATTGGTGAGCAAAGCATCACTTCAACCAGACTTTGCTATAAAGTAAACATTGCTATTATGACCTGCAGCTTTGTGGTAGTTCTCTTATTTTGGTGCTGGCTTATTTTTTTCCTCCAGAATAATTTCTGGCCAAACTCAATGAGGTAGATTTCACACAGTGGGGGGAAAAAAAAAAAAAAGCCTTAGCTTTACTCTCCACCACAATCCCCCAGTGAAGAGGAATGAAAGCATTGATGCATTGATGCCTTTACAGAACTATCCTTCCAGACAAGGGAGGGTGAGATGTAGTCCAAAAATACCGCTAGATTCCTACATGGAATAAAGTTTCAGAATAAAAACACACCTGACTAACACCCGTTTATTTGTCTGCTTTGCTCGTACTTTCTTCATGAGTTGTTCCAGTTTCCCTGACTCATCAGGTTGGATCTCAAGCTTCTCATCCTCTGCTGTGTTAATGATGTCCCTGTAGAATAAGGAGATATCAAACCCTCCAGGTTTCTTCAAGTGCAGCAAGTCCAGGATGATACCTAGAGACAAAGTAAAAGACAGATATGAGTGTGTTCCTCAGCACTCTTAGATATCTCTATCTATGCAAAGAATTTGAGCTCCAAATTGTCATCTGCACTAGATGTGACAGTTCCTCAGTGGCAAAAGAGTTGCTTTACCTTCAAAACAACAGAAGCACAGAAAGGATACATTACTTCTATCCTAAATCCCAGACTTAAGTTAAAGGGGGAAATAATGACCTGTGTCTCTAAGATCACCAGCTCTGGTCCTGGCCAGCTTGGATTTAGCACTGTCATTGGCATGAGGATTATCTTTATTGGTGAACAGCAGAATCCTTTTGTGGCTCATTCTCACTCGAACATCACTGAAGAGATTAGAGCAGGCCCAAAGTGCTTCACCCAGTGAATAGTTGTCATTGTGACCAAAGGTCTCCTGGAAAAGCTTTTGTCCTTGGTCTCCTCTGTATTTGTCCAGTTCTAGAATACGCTTTGCACCTGTAGAGAGTAACAGCATTTGCAGGCATCAGAATTACTGAAAGAAATCCTCCAAGCAGGCACTGGCATGGAATCTGGGCTGCCTTAGTACGTACACACATTGTTCAGAGGCATAACAGAGACCTGATAGGCTTTTAAGACTTCACTGAAATCCTCTTAGCTTTAGCAGATAACAGGTGAATCATCATGTTAAAACAGAAATAACTGCATCAGAAAAAGATAGAATCTCACAAAGTTTCTAAATCTATCAGGAAAAAAATCCGAGAAACAGGAGCATTTTTGTTTGTTGTTCTGACAGCTCTCTCTTTTCAGTAGGCCATCTATTGACAAGGGCATTACATAGATTTTCTTTTCCTGTCTTGTACATAAACCTTCATACTACTTCACTGCTTTTTACCTGGATTGTCCAGCTCCTGAAGAACGTAAACATGTTTGAAGTCTGCAGAATTCTTGTTCTTTTCCGTGCCATAGAACACAACACTGAGCAGGTCCTTATCACTACTAATAATTTTGCTGATATATGCATTCCGGATGCACTGGAAATAACACACACAGGCCAAAGCACAAAGAAAATCAGCTGCAAAATTGTGTGGTAGTTTCATCTTCAGCAGTTCACAGTTCATACAAGCAATATCAAGAATTGCAATAACTCGTTTAAGCTATATTTCAGCTCTGCAACGAAGCTCACCTGCATGGTCATGTCAAAGGGGGAGTATTCCTCATCCTTATACGACTCGAACATGTCCTCGGAAGCATCCACTAGGAAAATCAGGCTGTCCCGACCGGCGTATTTGTACTCTGCTGCGGAAAAGGGAAGAAACCGCAGCTCCCACAGCGGCCTCCTCCCTCTTTTCGCCCGGGCGCGGCGCGGAGCGCCCGGGATGGGGGGTACTTACCGGCCGCCTCCGCGCCCTCCTCCTGCTCCACGTCCTCCTCGTCCGCGCCCTCGGTCCGGTAGTAGGAGCGCCACTCCGACATGGCCCCGAGCGCGGCTGCGGGCGGTAGAGCGCGCAGAGGGGGCAGCGCCCGCGAAACAGCCCGTCACTCC